GCCAGACTAGCGGGTCCAGACTACGCGCCAGACTAGCGGTACCAGAGTAATGTACCAGACTGATGTACCAGGCGAAAGTACCGAACTAGCGGTGCCAGACTAGCCGCACCAGACTAGCGGTACCTGACTCAACTACCAGACTAGCGGTACCAGACAAGCAGTACCAGACTACAGTACCAGACTAAAGTACCAGACTAGTGGTACCAGACTAAAGTGCCAAACAGCGGTGCCAGACTAAGGTGCCAAGCTTGCGGTACCAGACTAAAAGTACCAGACTACTGTGCCAGACTAGAGCACCATATTAATGTACCAGACCAATGACTACATGTGCCAGACTAAAGTACCAGACTAAAGTGCCAGACCAATGGCGCCAGTCTAATGGAGACGAATGGCGCCAGACTCATGGCGCCAGACTCATGGCGCCAGACCCCGTCAGCGCGGTACCAGACTATTCCACCAGATTGCTGTGCTAGATTAATGTGCTATACTGAAGTACTAGACTAGCGGTGCCGGGCTAAGAACCAGACTAAAATGCCGGGGTAGCGGTGCCAGACTAAGATGCCAGACTAGCGGCGCCAGACTAAAGTGCCAGACTTGCGGTGCCAGACCATAGTGCCAGACTATTGTGCTAGACTAGAGTACCAGACGTATGTGCCAGACTAATGTGCCCAACCAGTGGCCCCAGGCCAATGGCGCCAGACTAATGGCGCCAGGTTAACGGCGACGGCGCCGGATTCATGGCACCATATTAATGGCGCCGGAGTCAGGATTAATGGCGCCGACCTGATGGCGCCATACTAACGGCGCAAGACTAGCGGTGCCAGGCCAGATTAATGGCGCCAGACAAATGGCGCCGTACTGATGGTACCAGACTCATGGCGCCAGACTGATGACACCCGACTAATGGCACCAGACTAGCGGCGCCAGGCTAGCGGTACCAGACTACAGTACCAGACTAAGGTGCCATTCTAATGTGCCAGAAAGTGCCAGACTAAAGTACCGGACAACTGCACCAACCTTATGTACCAGACCAAGGAGCCAGACTAATGGCGCCAGATTAATTGCACCCGTCTAGTGGCACCAGACTAGCGGTACCAGACTACCGTGCCAGACAAATGGCGCCAGACAGACGGCACCCGACTTATGGCACCAAACAAACTAGCGGTACCAGATTAAAGTACCAGGCTGAAGTACCCGACTGAAGTACCAGACTGATGGCACCAAGACTAAAGGCACCAGACTGACGGCACCGGAGTAGCAGCATCAGACCAAAGCACCAAATTAGCGGCACCAGACGAGCAGTGCCAGACTGAAGCACCAAATTCACGGCACCAGACTCGCAGTGCCAGACTCATGATACCAGACCAACGGCAACAGACTAATGATCCAGACTCGCGTGGTGCCAGTAGTCTCGGACATTAGTCTGGTACACTAGTCTGGTCAATTCGTCTAGTCCATTAGTCTGGTACATTAGTCTGGTACATTAGTCTAGTACCGCGCTTACGGTTAAGAACTACTCTCGACCAGAGGTTGCGACCTGACGTTCGGTGGCAGCGGGCTCTGGCGCTGCTCAGCGAGATTCGAGAGACTACGCTGGAGTCCGACGTCATCAGCTACAACGCTGGGGTCAGCGCCTCCGGCCGACGCCGACGCCGACGCCGACGCCGGCGCAGACTCTGACGATGCCTCCGGCGCCGACGCTGACGCTGTCGCCGACTCGACGCCACCGACTCGACGCTGGCTCGACACTGGCAGCGGCTCGCCTGGTTCCCTACTGGCAGCTGCCATCCGCCATTCGGGATCCAGTTCTAAGTGGCCTTGCGCGCGCTCCCCGCTGCCTTCCATGCGGGCGCCAGTTGCCCCTCCAATGGCTTGCCTGCCCCCTTTTGCGCCCGTGCACGTGCTCGGCGCTGCCCCTCGCCCGGTTGGGCCGACTGAGGCCTTCCAGTCTTTCGCCCAGCCTTTTGCCCGCGAGCTTGGCCGCGGTCGCCTGGCCGCTACCTGCGCCTTCGCGCCTTCCGCCGCCCCGCCGCCTCGCCTGGCGGCCCCCCCCGTGGGGTCGTCCGCTTCGCGCCCAGTGCTGCTGCGCCTGTTCGGTGCCTACTTCGCCCCTCGCTGCGCCCGTGGGTGTTATCCCCCGCGCGCGCCTGGGCCCCCTCGGGAGGCGCTCTTTCTTTCCTTGTGCCTCTGGCCTGCTGGCGCCCGCGGCCGCGGCTCGCAGGGCGGCTCGCGCCCTGCCCTTCCGGCGGCGGCCGCTGCGTTTGTCACCCGGTGGGCTGGTCTTGCCGCTCGCCGTTGGCTTCCGCACCCGAGGCCAGCTGGACTTGGCCGCTCCCCTGGCCGGCCCCCCTCTTTGCTTGGTTTTCAGGCCAGCCCGCAGTCCTCGCGCCGGCTTAGCCAGTGGGCCTGCTTGCTCGCTGTTTGCCCACCGCGGTCCCTAACCCAGGTGCGTGGGCCGCCCGTCCTCCTGCGCTTCGCAGTTGATTTTTAGTCGGGCCCCCTGGCCCCAAGAGGCCCCAAAGACAGTCCAAAAGGGGCCCGAGACGCCCGCATATTGCTCCAATACGCCCAAGATGGCTTCCAGACGGCCCAAGAGGTCTCCACGGTGCTAAGAAGCTCCCAAGAATATTCACCATACTGGCCCAAGAGGCGAAATCCTATGATTTCCCAGTGGTTAAGAAAAATAGGCTTTGGGCGTTCTCGCCTTTCCGGCTTCCCGACGCTCCTAGACGACCCGAGAGGCCTCCAAGAGCATTCCAAGACGACCTAAGAGACCCCCGAGAGGGCGTCGAGACGGCCCAAGGAGGTCACAAGACGGCCCAAGAGCCCTCCAAGACGGCCCACGAAGGCTCCAAGACTGTTCCAAGAGGGAGCCCAGACGGGGAACCCAAACAGACATGTCGAGCCCTCGGCCCCGAGAGGCTCCCAGGAAACTCCAAGAAGTTCCCAAGAGGCCCGCGCGAGGCCCCAAGAGGCCCCAAAGAGGCCTACAAGAGGTCCCCAAGAGGCCCCCACGAGGCCCCAATTCAATGTGTTTCATGGGTACGCGGAGCCAGGCGCTCACCGGATGTCTTCTTCTCTCCCTTCCTCTTCCTCTCCCCCCGCTTCTGTTCGGAGCTGTTCTGGCTTCCGCATGGCGCCCAAGCGGGGGGCGCCCAAGCCGAGGGCTACGAAACGCGTGCGCCGCATTGCGGGCTTGCCTCGCGGCTCGCAGACAGGTTTGGAGAAACGGGGCCGGGACCGACAGGACGCGCTGTTCGAACGACCTGGCGCCTTGCACGAGTGCCCCGCGTGTGCCGCGGCAGTCCGCGTAGCGTCGGACGCCAAGGCGACCTCGGACATAAGCTGCCTTGTGCGCTCCGTGGTCGTGCCCGAGGGGGTTCCTGTGGTGTACGGGTTCGAGACGAATGCTCGATCCTGGCGATTGCTTCCTGACCGCGCTGTCGCGTGTGCCCGGGCGGTGCGCGAGTGCGCGGCGACGTGCGACGTTCGAGTTCGCGCTGGCTAGTTTCCCGCAGGCAGGAACGTCTGTTAAAAGAGTGCTCGATCCCCGCTTTCTTTGTGGCCCGCATGCCATGTCCGTTGCATCAAGCACGTTCCCCCTGCACTCTGCCCTTTCGCGTGGGCCTCGAGTCCTTCAAAAACCAACAGCGCCTATTCAACATAGTTTCCTAGAGCAGCCAACAACACCTATTCAGCGCCAAAAGCCAATGGTCCCTGCTGCCTAGTGCACCCGCGCCAAGTACCCAGAGAGAGAGAGAAAGAGAGCCCAGAGAAAGAGAGAGAGAGAGAGAGAGTGTGAGACAGAAATACAGAGATAGAGACGGATACAGAGGCACACGGGAGGTAGGAGGGACCCACGCACTGCAGAGGTACGAACGAGGAGGACGAGCGCTTGCAACAAACGCACAGACATTCAGGAAAAGAACGGGTGAGTCGCGCTCCTCACTCGTATCTGCAATCGCGGGGCGCTACGTACAAAATGCTCGCGGGCCCCCCGAACATGATCCAGTATTTTGCCGCGAGGTGCACTCTGCATTGTTATTCGACCAGGGTAATTGTGAGGGGGCCCTCATTGGCCCTGGTTTGTCGCTGGTCGGGTAGGGGGTGGGGCCTATTTTGACAAGGAGCAGTGATGAACCCCTCCCCGAAGGGAAAGTGGGGAGATGGAAAAGACAGCTTGCTAAACCAACCCGCGCCCAGAGGACTGGTGGCATCCTAACTAGGGTCGCTACTTGGGTGGTCGCCAGCTCCTCGGGGGGGCCCTCCTACCCTCCAGGGCCCTGCAGCCCCTGCAAACCCTCCAACAGCGACTTCAGCTGCCCAGATACCTCCTGGATCCTCGATCCTCGATCCTCGACCCGCAGGGGGATACCGCGACCTCCTCGGTGGTGACCCCCCTTGGCATTGCCTGGGGCGCCACGGAAGGTGCCTCGCCTTCGGCGCGTTCGGCGGCGGGCCCGCGGGCGGAAGCCGTCGGACAGCCGACGGACGCACAAGAGAGGCGTCACCCAGCTCATCGAGAAGTCTCGAGAGCCTAAGACAGCAGGGGGTCGTGTGCCCCAAAGCATGGGGCGGCGGAAGTGTAAGGGAGACGAGTGTACCGCCAGACCTCCAAACGAGGGCCAGAGTAGATGCTGGGGTCGTAGGATCGCGCCGCCTCGCCGATGCATCGGCGATGCGGCGCGATCTGTCCCGACGTCGCCTGTGCATCGGCGATGCATCGGCGATGCGGTGTGTTCCATCTGCTCTGGTGTTATTTGGGAGGCCGCCATCTGGGAGGCCTCCAGGCCGAGCGGTGTGACAGTCGAGACGCTAAGATCAGGATTCTTGGAGTTCGAAATTTCGGGGCGTTCCTGAGGTTTGATGTCGGAGGACCTAGCCGAGGCTCGCCGCGGCCAGGAAAGGCCCTTCGGCCCTCATCCAGCGTTCCCCATGGCAGCACCATGGCTGTTCCTCGTCTGCTCGGCGGCCGCAGAGCGGCGCCCCGTTGGCCTTAGGTACCTTTACTTCGACAACGACACCGGGGAGTGGTCCGGCTTCGGGGCGGCGGCGATGGCCGCGGTCGCGACGGAGCGCTCCCCCCCTGGGGCGGGCGCTCGAGCTCAAGGCGGCGCCAAGGCCCAGCAGGCCCTGAGATCCAGGCATCGCAATTCGTCGCTCGCCTGATTTCGGGCTCCGTGGCCCTCGCGCATCGTGCCCGCTCGAGGAATGCTCCAGAAGGGTAGGGATCCAGGGCTCCGGTCGTGATTCATATGGCGATGTTTTTTTCGCCACGTTGTGCTTTAGGGGGGCTCAGGCAAGGGTAGGGCCGCGGGGTGGGCCATATAGTGCCAGGTCTCGGGGTGGTGGTGGCGTAGCGGGCTGGCCAGGACTGTTGATTGCATCGCAGTATGCTGAATACGCAGAGGGGGTGCCAGCAGGGAGCGGAAACACTGGCAGGAAGCAGGGACCGGACAGGCAGGGTCTGTGACGTCCCGTGCGTCCATTGTATCGGCGCGCGCGCAGTAGCATCGTGCGACAGCGTTGGGTGTGCTTACATTCCGAGGACCACACTAGTTTTGGGCCCCCGACTACACGGGACCCCCCCTGGACTACAAGGCCCCCCTGAGATTACAAGGGCCCCACCCAGACCACAAGCCCCCCCCCGGAGCTGCATGTGCCTCCCTCCCGGTTTACAAGGGCCCCCACCCCGCACTACAGGGCCCCCCCCCCTCCCGACTACAAGGGCCCCGCCCTGGACTGATGGTCACCCCAGAACTATTGAGGTGCTCAAAGTAGCTCGGTTCGAAGTGAAGGTGCGCGCGTGAACTCCGTCTCCATTTGGCAAAAGCACCCCGCCCCAGCGGCAATTACATTTGCTCCCCCCAACCATGCCCATTGCGGCGAGGACCTCGCCCTCTATGGCCGTGGAGAGGGGGCGTAGCGGGCTGGCCCGGCCCGCATGATTGTTGATCACCGCGCCATGTACCAAAAAAGGCAGGGAGGGTGCCAGCAGGGAGCGGAAGTGCAGGCAGTTCTTGGGATATGAGAGTATGTTTCGGTACCTCTGCTGCGGCATTGAGGCTCCTCGTATGTCACTTTGCTGTCCCTTCTCTGTCCACTTGTGTTGGGCACTCGCTGTGCGAGTCCCGCCGCCATCAATGATAAGGAGTACGCACGCACACGCTTCCTCTTTGTGGACATTCCGCGGAGCAGAATAGACGTAATCAGGTCACGTACCAACGTGCGGGCGTAGGATTTTGAAGTCCAACTCCATTCTCTTTTTCGGCGTGGAGCGATCGGGCATCCGCGATTTTCTTCTGGCCGCGGAGTGCCCGTTGCATCTGGGGCCCTGGCTTTGTATTGAGAAGCGGATTGTGCCTGGGGCGTGCCCTGAGCGTCCAGGACGCATTTCCTTCAGGGCGCGTCTCCTTTGGTGCGGGCCCACGCTTCTTCAGCACCGGCTGGCCCGCTTGGACTTGCTCCCCGCCCCTCCCCCTGCCACACCGCGGTCCCTGAACGCCGCGCACCAAGCCCAGACATCGGGCGCTGAGATTTGTCGATACGTGGGACCTAGGACCTCCCCACCTCTTCCCCATGTCCAGCTTTTCTTCCCGAGTTTTCGCCCCATATCCTGAGACGGAATTCTTCTTATTACTCAGACCGCGTCGACTCTTCCTCCCTCCTCCCCGACCTGCCTCCTTCTCCTCTTCCTCACACTCACACTCACTCTTCGCGATCAGACTCGATCGCATTCAGTCTCGCTCATACTCAGGCTCTCTCACACTCAGACTCACTCAGATTCAGACTCACTCAGGTTCAGACTCACTCATATTCAGACCCACTCACACTGAGACTCACTCATACTCAGACTCACTCTGCACCTCCCAGACTCAATCATATCACTCCCTCAATCAGATTCACTCGTATTTAGAATCGCATGAAATCGCTCACGCACACAGACTGTGAGATTGTCTCGAGCGAGGCGCTGGGTTCAGCACCTCCAGGGGGAGCCGCCAGGGTGTATTGCACGGGCCCGTTCGCGCCCAGATTGTGGGGATGCCTCAGGCGATTTGCTTGTTTGGGTGCCCAGCGTCTTTTGCTTTCAGAACAGATTGTGAGGACGTCTCAGGCAAGGCGCTGGTTTCATCACTCCAAGGGGGAGCCGCCAGATGGTATTGCACGGGCCCGTTCGCGCCCAGGTTGTTGGGATGTCTCCGGCGGTTTGCCTGTTTCGCCCCCCCCCCCCCAAGGTTTGTCACTGGACTTGTGTTACCTACCGGACCTCACTCACTCAGTCACCTCCCCCTCTTCTTCTTCCCCACTCAGACGCATCCACATTCAGAGTTACCCATCAGTACCTCTTCCGCACCCACGCTCACTCATCACACTCAGACTCAACCATACTCAGACTCACTCATACCCAGACTCGCTCACACTTAGATTCATTCACACCCAGACTCGCTCACACAGGCCCACTCAGACTCAGACTAACTCGCACTCGGACTTGGTCACATTCATATTCACCCACCCTCAAACTCACTTATGCTCGCTTTCACTCGCACTCAGACTCACTCATATTCAGACCTATACTCGTCATACTCATACTCAGACGCACTCGTTCTCAGACTCAGTCGCACTCAGACTCACTCGCACACAGACTCGTCCACCCTCATATACACTCGTAGTCAGACTCGCCCGTACTCAGACCCACTGAACTCATTCCCGGACCGACTGACACATACTTCTCCACAGTCAGACTCACTGTTACTCAGGCTCACTCAAGCTCAGACTTGCGCATAGTCAGGCCCATTCGTATTCAGACTCTGCCATACGCAGAATCATGCACACTCACACTCAACCATACCCGGGTTTACTCACACCCAGACGCCCTCACACTCAGATCACTGGCGCTCAGATTTACTCAGTCTTCTCTCTCTTTCTTTTGGTGCTCCAGTGCTCCCTCGGTCTTCCACTTGTGCTTCCCCCATCTCCCCTGAGAGATGCCCAGAGGAGGAAGACGTCACTGAAATTGTCTGGGAAAATCAGTCTTGCCTAGTGTCACTCTTCACTCTTGCGCGCAGCGGCGCGAGGAGGTCGGCGTGCCCTTCTCGTTCGTGCGGGACGACATGTTTGGGGACTTCTCCAGCCTGTACGCGGAAGGGCGGGAGGCATCCTTCCCCACTCCACATCTTTTTTGTTTCTACCAACCATCCTGTGGTGCTGGCCCTTGTTTTGAGTACGCATCGCCCCGCGTCCTTCCTTCCTCACCTCCTCCCTCTCCCTTCCTCCCTCCTGCCTCTACCCTCCGCATGTGTCTGCTTCGGCACATTCATCACGTAATTCGTAGCCTTACAGGGGGCTCCACCGAAGGCCCCAGTTGCAGGGTCCGCATGCGGACTCGGGTCCATTTTGGCAAACCATTCACACGTTCTGTGGCGCCAGGACAGGCTCCACCGAACGCTCCAGTGGCAGCACCCGCATGCGGACTCGGGTCCATTTTGGCACAATCCGCGCGCGTTTTGTGGCCCCGTGGGGAGTTCCACCGAAGGCCCATTGGCAACGCCCGCATGCCGATTCGGGTCCTTTTCGGCGCACCTCTCACACGTTTCGTGGCCCCGCGGGGAGCTCCACCGAAGGCCCCAGTGGCAGCGCCCGCGAGTGGACTCGGGTCCATCTTGGCACACCCCTCACATGCTGTGACCCCATAGGAAGTCCCACCGAAGGGCCCAGTTCAGCGCCCGCGTGACGGCCCCGGCTCATCTTGGCACACCCCTCACACGCTTCGTTGCCCCATAGGGCGCGGCGCCGAATTCGCCAGTAGCAACGCTCACGTGGCTCGAGTTGTATCCGTTTTGTGGCGCGCTGCTTACTAGGAGAGGCCATATCGTGCGCCGCTCGTAGATTGAACGCCCCCCTCCTTCGTATCACTTGCCTTGCGATACTCGCAGTTGCGTATGGTTGGATCCTTCATCACGCTGTTCTTTGTTTTTTCTCTCTTCTCAGATCCCTTCAGTTTTTCCAGGCCCCGGGGCCATCAAGTGGTATTCCGGGGCGCACCACTACACCCCTGTGGGCATTGTTGACACCCCTGGGGTCTGCGGCTTGGAGAAGTCATCTCGTGTGATATTTGGGACTCCTCCTCCACTTGTTCCTCTGGCTCCGTCCTCCTGCTCTTTCTCCTCTCTCCCCTCTTCTCTTTCGGGCTCCGTGTCTCACAGTGCCCGCTGATTCGTGAGATGTTGCTTCGGGGGCTGCGTTTCGTGGAAGACACAGGTTTTGTTCATTTACTTTGTGTGTGTCCTGCCTGTCTGTCTGTCCTGTCTGTCTGCCTGTCTGACTGCCTCTCTGCCTGCCTGTCTGTCTGTCTGTCTGTCTGTCTGTCTGTCTGTCTGTCTGTCGGTCTGTCTGTCTGTCTGTCTGTCTGTCTGTCTGTCTGTCTGTCTGTCTGTCTGTCTGTCTATTTGTATGTACGTACATACATGTGTGTGCGTACCCGTAGCCATTTTGGCTCAAGGCTATGAACCGCCCGACGACCGCGAATCGGCCTCGGTCGGCGACTGATGAGCGCGAGGGGGTTCGCGCTTTGAGGCCAAAGACTCTCTCACCAATTGTAACCTGTGCTGCCCGTCTGGGCCCCAGCATTCGGCGCCCACGTTCCCCACCCGCTTCGGCGCTGCCCGATGGCGCTGCCTCTCTGTCTCGGCGGCCTGGCAAGGCTGGCAAAGCTTCTGGTGGCGCTGGTTCTGGGCAGCGTCGGCGCGGCAGCCCACGAGAAAACGATGATCGCAGTCGCAGTGCAGGCACGGACGACCCCTTCCAGTCCGCCAGCGCCGACCCCTGGCGAGCCCGCGGGAATGAGTGCCAAGGAACGGCTACGCCGATCGCCGCCGCTCCCCCTGCGACCCCAAGGACACCTCGCAGCAGCGGCCGCGACAGAGCTCACTCCCACCGCGCTCCTGGTTCACCTCGGCCTGCTGCTGCTCCTGCTGCGGGGGTGGACGGGCCTGTCTTGCACTCGGAGCTGGAGGAGATCTTGGGGGCCATGCGCGACTCCATCGTCGGCTACGTCTCCGAGGCCAACAGCAAGATGTCCGCCAACATCCCCGCGACCACCACAGCTGCCCTCCTCGTCTTCGGCGACCGCCAGGCCGCCAAGAACGCGCAGATCGACCAGCACATGCAGGACCTCGACCGTGGCGTGTCGCGCACCCAGCGAGACCAGCAGGAGATGCGTGAGGCCCTGGCGAAGCTGGAGAAGGTGGTCGCGGCGTGCGAGGCGGCGGCACCTGCCCAGCACTTCGGGGACGTGGCGGACTGGATCAGGGAGCCCGACAAGTCCATCTTCGTCATCACGGCCAAGGAGGCGGTCACCTCGGAGGCGGTCCTTGCGAGTGTGCGCCCCTGGCTGGCGGACACCGACATCGAGGACCAGCACTGGTCGCTTGAAGGTGCATCCCCTGGCCACCGCCACATCCTCCGCATGCGTGGCGCTGAGGGCTTGGCTGCACGCCGTGTCATCTCGGCCTTCCAGAAGCTCAAGAAGGATGGTTCATGGCGCCGCTTCACAGCGGCCTCTCTCGAGGGCGGCACTCAGGTGCCCATCTTCGTCGGCCTGGACAAGTCTCCCCAGGCCATCCGCCGCGAGATCCAGACGAAGCGCCTTCTCGAGCTGGTGCGGGATTCTGGAGTGGAAGGGCGCTGGCGTGCCATCCGACACGCTGGCGTCGTCACCGACGGCTCGCAGCCCGTCATCAAGCTGGTCGTGGGTGAGACGGCTGAGGACCCGACTATCCTTGAGTGGAATTATCGTGCTGTTCATGCTCGCAACCTCCCTCGCGACGCCATCAAGCAGTCCTTCGATGAGATCTTCGCCTCCGCCGAGAGGGTCCAGTGGGCAATTTAGCACTCCCTTCGCTCCCTGGCGAGATCCTGGCGAGTTCCGCGAGTGCGTGGCGATCGGATCCTGGAACGCCCGTGCGCTTGTGCATCATGATGCTACCACGAGGGACCGCAAGTTTCGTCACCTGCAATCATACCTCGGGCAGGGCACAGCGATGGGCCTACAGGAGGTGCACGGTAATGCCATTGAAATTATGCAAGAACTTCACCGCCATCATGTCCACGCTCAGGTCTTCATGAACTTCAGCGACAGGCGTGACACTGGTGGAACTGTTATCCTTCTGCCTGGGCGCTTCCCAGCTACTGATGCCCCCAGTTACTAACACGAGATTCTAGTCACTGGTCGCGTCCAGCGACTCCGTGTTTCAGGCCCCGCATCGGACTCCCCGTCCCCATCTCCCATTATCTATAACGTCCACAACTTCGGCATCAGTGGCGACGAGATGACAAAGATCGAAGATCGGATTCGTGCTGACATCGCTATGGCCCAGTCGGCGCCGAAGATGGTCACGCTGCTGCTGCTTGGTGACTTCAACATTCTGGCGGCGCCGCCCCTGCTGGTTCAGACTCCCCTCATCAACAAAGGCCTCGTGCGCACGGACGACGCTGTGCCTCGGCCACTGGAGCGCCGCTGGAATGCTATATTCTCTGACTTCGTCGAGCTTGACAATGAGCTCCCCGCGCACTTCTGGCAAGAGGATGGCTCGCCACCGAAGCTGTCGCAGATTGACAGAGCGTTCTTGGCTTCTCCTTCGTGGTTGGCGATGCAGTGGCACGTCACGCTCTCGACGCGTGATCTCCCTGAACGATTGCATGAGATTGGCCTCAGTGACCACGCGCCGATTGTAGTTACCTTTGCTGGCCGGCCACCGATGGACAGCGAGACGCAACCGATCCCACGATACATTCTCAAGTGCCACGAGTATGCGAGCCAGTGCCAGCTCATGTCTCAGCATGTTCAGTGGCACGTTCTTCATCCTTACCAGCGGAGGCTTGAGCATAAGAGACTCATGCGGGAAGCTGCTCGACGTGTTCGGGGCAGTTTCTTCAAGCACGGGGCTCACGACAACGACTCGAAGTTACTCATCTTCCGCTCGATCGCCAGAGCGGTCTGGAGGGGCGATCTCAAGCTGGCGGAGCGCCTGATTGCATCGTCACCGCTCGCTGCCGAGCACCTCATAATCACCAGCACATCGGTCTCCCTCTCGAACCCCTCGGACTTCGCCGAGGCTTTCGCGGCTGAGCAGAACATCTACTCCGAACGTCGCCTCGCTGATCTCGATCGACGGGCCCAGGCGGCTCCTCCTGACGGCACTTCGTTCAAGCACATCATCGCCATGAGGCGGGCCACCAGACGGAGGGCTGCACTCTGGGCCCCATTCAAACGCGCACTCAAACTTCAGGGATTGCGTCTTCCTGATTCTGGTGGCTCACATGGCCTGGGACAGGGTGCGGAGAGAATCGTGAATGCCCAGGCGGACGTGTTCGAAGAGCTACGCAAGCACTGGTCGCCGATATTTCAGCGTGATCTTCCCGAGCATCCCCTTGTGCGACGCTACTTGGACGAGCATCCCGTGGTGATAGATGGCCTCGAGGACATTCGTCTTCCTGACTCTCGCGATCTTCAGCGAGCGGCGCGGAGGGCTCGCGCCTCGGCACCAGGACCAGACGGGCTGCCGTATGATGCTTGGGGCTGCTGCGGGTCGTCGCGTCCTCTGGAAGACCTGGCGCAGGTGGGGCTCGAGGTCGCGCAGGGCTTCCCGCCACCTCCTGACCTCAACGACCACCTGATGGTTTTCCTGCCCAAAGGTGCCGAGGCCGACGATCTGGTATCGGGCCCGACTCGGGCGCCATCCACGACGAGACCTCTGGCCCTCAAGAACACGGATGTAAAGCTGCTGGCCGCCAGCGTGAATTACCTCATCAAGTTCGACGTCGAGCGCCACTCCCCCCTCTCTCAGAGGGGGTTCCTGCCTGGGCGCAACTTCCTGGACAACATCACCCTGCTCGACGCCGCCGCTCGTCGAGTTGGCTTCTCATCCACCAGGGACCAGCGCTTGCCGATGATGGTCCTCTTCGACTTCGGCAACGCCTTCCCCTCCCTTGCCGTCTCCTTCCTGCGCGCGGTGCTGCTGCGGGCTGGCTTCCAGGGCGGCCTCTGCCAGCTCATCATGGGCATGTGCTGGCTGCCGCAGGCCTTTGTGTCAATTGAGGGTGAGCTGCGTCGCTTCATGCTGGTCACGGCGGGCATCGCCCA